TAATTTAGTTTTTTTTAAATTATTTTGTAAGGGTAGCTCAACATACTGTGTTTTGAATTACAGTGTACTTAAATGACACAATTTTGTCTATGTACAAAATTAATACTTTTTTATATGGTCGCGCATTTATTGTAAATACATTTAGATATTGTTTCAAATATGCTTTTAATTTTTTTTTTTAATATAATTTTTCATACATGTTGTAAATATAATAGTTAATTTTTAATAAGGGAAATAACTCTGTTGTGCGTGAAAATGGTTAGAACTCTTCTGTGAAGGAAGTTAGGATTTTTGTAATTCATATGCAAATCTTTTTAGAATCGCTAAGACGAAGCAGAAATACCTTTCTAGATCTTTGTAAGTGTTCGATTTTTGTTTCACATCGTTCAACATGCATTTCTCTTTATAATGTTACAAGTTCTTTTTAAATCAGACATTTTAATTACATGCAATCAAAACGCATTAATGTCAAAAGTAAAATTCTACTTTCACTTTTATATTTACTTCACGAAGTTGTCAATGAATTGTTTTATTTTTAATTTCATTTCTCTCATGCATCATATAACTTAGATATTTTCTTAAAGTCATATACGCTATATGAACGCCGAATTTTGTGTGAAACAAAATGATTAATGATTTGAAACACATGAAGTGTAATAAAAAATAATACTTTCCACAAAATTGTACTATAGATGTCGTTGTAATAGCAAAACAATTAAAGAATATCTAGGAATTAAGAATTCAGTCTTTTCATGAATATTGATAAAGGAAGTGCGTAAACAGTAGGCCTATATATAGAAACACATGTCCACGGGAAATCACAGACAACGAGGTAAGTTGCATTTTGACAACAATTATTAATGTAAGGTTAATATGCGTCATAACAGAGAAGATGGTTGATACTGAAATACATTAAAAGATAAAGTACCATTAAGTATCCACGTCAAAAGTGAGTAGTATCTCATACGGTCTACCTTGTTTTCTTTACGCCACGTGTGTTTATCAATCTAAAAGTAGCGACGGCGTCACGTGATGGATTTATTTAAAAATAGCTGTTTTTCTTTCCTTGCAGGATAATAAATAATTATAATTTGATAACTTTGTAACGCGTTTAAATTTAATGGTGTAATTTACAGTATTTTCGTAACTTTTATTGATAAACAAATTGTATCAATTTCCAATCGTACTTTAACTGGCGCAAGTTATAGCGTGTATACTTTTAATAATTTAATTCTGACTGTATCTGTATGTGTCAATGGTCTCGCTTATAATTTTATTATTTTTAAGATCTTGATTTAATACAAACTTTTGATTTTATTGTGGTGTTCTGTTGAAATGAGACCATTGTATTTTTCTTTATATGACTTTCATGATTGCGCTTGTACAATAAACTTCATAAACTTTATTCCAACTCTTCGCCTCTTTCTAGGTCAAGGACAAACCGATCAAGGACAGTCTAATTGACAAGAACAGTTGTATATGTCTCATAGCCGAAGTGGTTATAATGTGTTAAAACATACCGAATCGTTTGAGACAATATTAAATATTCCACAATTTGGCTATTTTAAATTTTATTGTTTAGAAAGAAAATGAATACAGAAATAGTGATTAAACATTTGGTTGTTTTACATTTTTACATTACTTTTTATCTTTTTTTAGGGCACTGATCGACTTGTTTCTCAACGAACAGTTTACAAGTACCCATAATTATGAGGGTGATATTGATATAAATGTACATGTACTATGTGCAAAACGTTTTGAAACAAAATCCGTGATCTTTTTAAACAGTCTCATTTAATCTTTCATGATTCCTGAGCAATAAAGGTATGTGAAATTGTGTAAGCGGGGCTACTAGCAAACTAGGATACACCTAAAGCTGTCTTAGGTAAAAAAAAAAAGTTATGTAAATATTAAAAAAAATTATTTTATTAATAGATATTTTTTCTGTTATTTGATTTCCTAGCATGTAAAATTTCAAAACCACAAAAAGCCCGGAAAACGATTGCGGAATTTTGTGTGTTGAAATTCCTTCCTGGACCCCAATTTGTTTGCATCATGTACACAAAGAGAGAAGCTGCAATGATCAGGTATACTACTTTTATAGCCGTGTTTTTCTTTACTGAAGATAACAAGCCGCATCCTTATGCCAGGATTTCCTCTTATATTCTTGACAACATCAAAGAATGCAAATATAAGTAATAAACAACGATTACTCGGTGAAAGGCATTATGAATACATGTAGTAATAGCTCTGCTGGCATTTTTTCCATGATGTAGATAATATAATGACATATTTACATCATATATCATGAAAGAAGTACATGTACTGCATATAATGGAAGTTGCATGCAATATAATGTAAAAACTACTTTATATAATTAAAATAGTACTGAAAGAAACACTGTTTAATCCTCATATAAGACATTTCCAGCGTTCCATATATCAAGGTATCATAAATGGTATATATCATTGTATATATCATTTCGATAAGTAAAAATTCCTTTCAAATTGATTTTTTCTCCACACTCTTACTCTCTCACCATCCTCTCTCCCAAGTCAATCCCTCTCTCCCAAGTCAATCCCTCTCTCCTCCACTTTTTCCCTTCTCGCTCTCTCTCCCCTTCCTCTGTCATCCTCCCTCTCTCCCCACGCTCACTCTCTCTCTCCCCACTGCTCTCTCTCTCCCCACACTCACTCCTCTCTCCCACTGCTCTCTCTCTCCCCACCCTCACTCCTCTCTCCCCACTGCTCTCTCTCTCCCCACACTCACTCCCTCTCCTCTCCCCACTCCTCTCTCTCTCCCTCTCTCCTCACTCCCTCTCCACTCCCCTCCTCTCTCTCTCTCCACTCCCACTCCCTTCTCCCTCTCACCCCCACCCTCTTTCTTCCCACTCCTCTCTCACCCTACTCTCATTTCCTCTCTCTGCCGCTCCACTCACTCCTCGCAGAGAGAGGATCTACTCTCACCCCCTTTCTCTCTCTACGCTCTCTCTCTCTCTCTCAGACAGCGAGAGAGATAGTAGGAGGTTTATTGTGATAAGGAGAGAGAAAGGAGAGTAGATAGAAGGTGTATTGATAGAATAGGAGGTAGTAACCGCCCACTCACACCCTCTTTTCTCTCCCTCACTACATCTCTCCCTTTTCACCCCTCCTTCTCTCGTACTGTGTCTTTCTCTCTGTCTCCCCACATTTTCACTCTTCTCTTCTCTTCTCTTTCTTTCTTTCTTTTTTTTTTTTTTTTTTTTTTTGTTTGACTCAAATATTACACTTTTGGGTGAAATAAACTATTCATATGCACTATACATCGATTTTTCATAATTGTTTACAATTAAAAATAATGGACATTATTCTTTTTCCCTGATAAAGAGAACATTCTTTCGTTATTGTAAAATAAATTATAATATGTATATTCTTGATCTTTCTATTGTAAGGAAATGTATCAGAATTGACCATTTGTGCCAAAAAAATTATGTAATTTAATTTTACAAGGGCGATAAATAAGAAAAAAATTTATAGAGACGGTCTACCAAAATATTCTTCATTTCACTTAATATATATTTTGGAATTGACATTCACTATCTTTATGCCTTGTTTGCAATCAGTTTATTTGAATTCTATATTTTAAATATTTTTTTTTCTGCTCTTGCAGACATTGTGCGGTTGCGGTGATACTTGCCAAAATGCACTTGCATCTTGACTCCATCGTTGTTCTACGCTGAAACCAGTATTTTATATTTTTGCTTTGAATTGAATTGTTCGTTTGGTATTTTATTCAAATATGCACTGTTTGTAAAACTACAAATAATCTTTATTTGTTACATGGTTCTATTCTTCTAAACATAAGTTTTAACTTTACAGTTTTTGAGAGGTTAACCGTTAGGCCTTCAGCGTATGAGTGAATACTCACCTATAATTACGAGTCCTGGCAATGCATGCCTCTGGGAAAATACAACCGTAATTCAATGTAGCAGTAGAAACAAAAATTAAAGAAAGGAATTCGACGAAATTCCTTGAAAAAACATGGTCGTAGGAACCGGGAGAGGTCCGGGGATCGGGGACGGGACCCTCCCCAATAATTTCCCAATGTATAAAAAACTACTATAGAAAATTAAGCTACCTTTATGCCTGTGTCCTCTCAATAAATAGTTTGATAACCTTTTTTTTTGCTTGTCAAAGAATTTTTTCGTAGTTAATAGTACCCTAACTGAACACCCCCTCGAATTAAAATCGATTCTTAAAGCCAAGAATACAATAATGTTAATTGTTTAAGCATGCATTTGATTGGTTGTTCAAACAATCTCAACTGATGTTTCATTCAACTCTGTTATAAATGGGAAAATGGGGTTAAACTGATCACATTCGCTTATGTAACTCCCCCTCTTTCTTTTTTTTAAAGTCAAATATTTAAAAAAAATCTGTCTGTAAATTTTGTTCTTTTAACTTAATATACAGTATATAAAGACCGAATTTTCCTGTAAAATACACGATTTAAAAGCAGTAAATTAATCCGTTTCATTAATAGATCTACATATTTATATTAAGGTTTATCGCAATAAAACAATAACTGATTTATTTCCAACTCGAATAAAAATATCATACACAGTTTAAAAGCAATTTAACCATAGAAACCAGGACATATTTAAGTTCAGAATCGCGGTGAAAATTTTAATTTGAACGTAAATAACAAATATTATGTTTATCGATCTTCACTTTTAATTTAAAATCTCTATTTTTTTTTTTTAGCTCAGATACGCCGTATATACATATAACTTTAAAGTCAAGCATCCAATGCCCTTTTCCCTACTATTTTGATAAGTTCAGAAATTTAAAGGGAGTTCGAAACGTCTGGAACCCCCTTTCTATATATATAAATGTACATGTATGGGATATCAATTTACTATCCGGAAATTTCACGCCCATCAATTTTTGGTTTTGACATGTGTTTTTCACAGTCGCATAAACGCTTTCTTATCCGATATCCTATCATTTGCCTACCAAAGCAATCTTTAAACATGGAGTATTATTGATGTGGAAAAATGGCAGCCACCCTGTCATTTCGTTGGCTAGATATATTGGAAAAGGAATTTGACAAAGCCTTCGTAGATTTAGATTTACTCTTAGGGGAGATCGATCCAGATCAATGTGAGCTCACGTATGATGGGAGGCAGAAGATGACTGCACTCAGTGCTGCGTTTGCTCAACTATGCCACAAATCTCAGACCGTATTCCAGTCCAACGCTAAAATAGAGGTTTCTGAACATTAAACGCTGATTTGCTTTTAAAACTGACTTGTCATTTACATCTAAAACAAAATTAAAATATTTTTTAATGTTTTTTTCTTTTGATGGTGTGACAGTAGTGCCTTTCATAACATAGTAAAGCGGATATCAATAAAAACCTTATCAGTTCCTGCATAATCTCCCGATGAACACAATTAAGCCATATAGCTTGTTTTAGAAATATCACTTCATTTAACTTTTCAGAATAGCTTTCTTTAGCTAAAGTCCAAATTTCTCTTTGCCCAGTGGTTAATCGTGAGAACTCTCTAAATTCACTTACATTATGTATACTAGTTAGCTTTAATCACGTTAATAGTGGTTGTGGAAGTTTACCAGTTGACTAACTGGCTAGAAAAAAAAATGTTGACAGTGCGACTGTTATGGCAAGCTCAGATATTTCTTTTGTTACAGTTTATATTGGGCTCATTAAACCGCACGTCATGCCATTTGATGTGTCTAGACTCTGACGTCACATGATGTCGTATGTAAGTTATAATACCAAAAAGAAGCCTGAACAGTGCTGAAAGTAAATGAGGAACGTTTTGTTTACTGTTTATCTTCAATATTTATCCATAAAATCAAGGCATGTTAACCTTTAGTTGAATTTTGCTGCCATTCGTAGCTTAAACAAGCGATGCATTGTGGGTCCAGATTCACTGAGGAAAAAAAATCTGATGAATGAATGTGCATTGGTCCAAATTTTCTCTTTCAATTGCCCAGGCATTGCTTTAAGAGCTTGCAGTGACGCTCGCTGGGTTATTAATATGAAAGATTGAAGGACTTATTGTGTTTGCAAATTGTAGGCACAGTTAGTGGACATGAGGGCAGACCTGGTAGAGATGAGATCAGCTAAAGAACACGTAGAGAGAGAACTCCACAATGTATTGCTTCAACTACATTCCACCCAGCTTCAGATTCAGTCTCAGAAAGGAATTGAAGTAGATTCCACTACAATCCAGAAAAAAGTGGTGAGCTTCAGGTCTCCCTGTGTTAATACCATTGGTTGAATCATTATCATCAATGAAGCACAGCTAAAAAGTTTGAAGAAGGTAGTGGTAAATAGGATCATATTTACAAATATTTGTCCATGTTTTCATGAATCAGGTGAATATATTTTCAGTATTGTAAACAAAACATTAAAAAAAAGAATAGTTGATTACTTTGTTCTAACTTTTTTTTATGGAAACTGTTTTAACAAAAAATTGTATTTTGTCTGTATCTCATGCCGTTCATAACTGTTAAACATAAAACAATTTGTTGGCTTTGTAGGAAGAAGAAATGAAGGTTAAAACAGCAGGAGGCTCGACACTGGAGCGAGTGGAGGCGGAGGTGAAGGAGTTACGGAGTGAGAACGAGGAGCTGAGGCAGTATATACTGGCTCTACAGGGAGAGGTGTACGGGGCCAGGCTAGCAGCCAAATACCTAGACAAAGAGTTAGCAGGAAGGTCAGTGTCTAGTAGACAAATACCTAGACAAAGAACTAGCAGGAAGGTCAGTGTTTAGTAGACAAATACCTAAACAAAGAACGAGCAGGAAGGTCAGTGTCTAGTAGACAAATACCTAGACAAAGAACAAGCAGGAAGGTATGTGTCTAGTAGACAAATACCTAGACAAAGAGTTATATACAAAGAGTATATATATAGGCAAAAATATTTGTAAAAAATTATATCAATAGAATCTATATTGTTCTTTATACATGTTGCAGAATACAACAGATCCAGTTGTTGGGTCGTGACATGCGAGGGGCGGAGCATGACAAACTCTGGAATCAGTTAGAAGCAGAAATCCATCTCCATCGACACAAAACTGTTATACGTGCATGTAGGGGGCGAACTAATCGAAAGAAAAAACTCCAGATGCCAGAGGGGCATGTGAGTAAGCTTGTATCTAAGTATGAGTAAATTTTGAGTTATATAAACATGATAAATTATCAATTAGTTGCTACTGAAGCAATGAACTCTGACATGCATTTGTGCCACATTATCAAACTGTTTTAAAATTAATCAAAAAGGTGTGTTCCAGGTTTCACCATCGGTAACTTTTGTTACACTTTTTTACCATTGGTAACAAATTGTTTATATTAATAACAATTTTTTTACTATAGTTAGCCAATAATCTACTTTCACATTAAGATGTAGGTCACCCAATTCCTGCAGACAATCTAGAGTGTGTGTAGGATTGGTGAATGACGTCATACTCATATTAAATATGGCGGGTATACATGTATCTGCTTCTTGGTGATTTTATGGATGCTTACATTTAATATGATTGGAAATGATGCATTCATGTGTTCAATTAGTATTTGAAAGAAAGAAATATCAATCCTGGATTTCATTCCTAAAGACCATGAAATTTAGAGAAGACAATTTTTTTCTGCAATTCTATTGTATTACGCATGACATATGAGGTATCTTGGAATTATAAATTTCTGGATAATACTATTATATTTGAATGTAATTTTTTACACTTATTTAAGAAATAATATATGTGTCTGGTTACAATTTACAATGTACATAGGATAAAATAAAAGGAGATTTTCACACCAGAACAAACATATTCAGTGCTAATTATTTACCTTTCTCAATATATTTTATCCATATTTGGAACTTTTTTTTCTAATTTAAGGTATTTATAACAAATATCAGCTATTTACAACAAATTGTAACATTATATTCAATTTTTGAATGTAAGTTAGAGAGAGAGAGATATATTTTTTTTTCAAAATATACATAACTAACATCTAGTGATGGAAAAAAGAAATCATTCCATGGAAAAAAAACTCTATGGAAGAAAAAGAAATGTGGTAAACAGTACCAGAAACCAGACAATTTCATGGCCAATCTCCTAAAGATAAAAAATCCACATCTTTGTATACATTGATTGATGAAGTATAAATATGCTGATTTGTGATTTTTTTTTTTGAGCCAGGATTTTCAGTCCCTTCGTAAACAACATGGTCTGGGGGAGACAAGAAAAGTGACCATCAAGAAGGGAGAAGAGGAGGGTCTAGGCCTGTCAATCACAGTATGTATAACCTGTCAGTCTAAATATGTACAAAATAGGAGGGTCTAGGCCTGTCAATCACAGTATGTATAACATGTCAGTCTAAATATGTACAAAATAGGAGGGTCTACGCCTATCAGACACAGTATGTATAACCTGTCAGTCTCAATATGTACATAAGAGGAGGGTCTAGGCCTATCAATCACTGTATGTATAACCTGTCAGCCTAAATATGTTCAGAGGAGGAGGGTCAAGGCCTATTAATTACTTTATGTAGTACATAAATATGTGAATTGTTAATAACCAGCTAATGCTAGCTAAATAAGGAGTAAGCTGAAAGCAGAGTAGACAATTTAATTTAAGAATAGTCCATATATGTAATATTGCAAGTAACTACAAGAAATCTTCATGAATATGAAGAGGATGTTTTCTTTTTGCTAAATTGTATTTATTACTTTGTCAATTAAAATGATATCATTTAAATCAATGACTATTGTTCCTTGACAGGGAGGAAAAGAACATGGTGTTCCAATTCTGATCTCAGAAATCCATGAGGGTCAGCCAGCAGATAAATGTGATGCACTGTATGTAGGAGACGCTATCCTGTCTGTCAATGGTATCGACCTACGGGAATCCAAGCATGCTGAGGCCGTCCATGTACTGTCACAACAGGTGAGGTATAATACTCATATCACAACAAGTAAAGTATCATCCCAGGTCATCACAGGTCAGAAATCATACCAAATCTCTACAGGTCAGAAATCATACCAAATCTCTACAGGTCAGAAATCATACCAAGTCTATACAGGTCAGAAATCATACCAAATCTCTACAGGTCAGAAATCATACCAAATCTCTACAGGTCAGAAATCATACCAAATCTCTACAGGTCAGAAATCATACCAAATCTCTACAGGTCAGAAATCATACCAAATCTCTACAGGTCAGAAATCATACCAAGTCTATACAGGTCAGAAATCATACCAAATCTCTACAGGTCAGAAATCATACCAAATCTCTACAGGTCAGAAATCATACCAAATCTCTACAGGTCAGAAATCATACCAAATCTCTACAGGTCAGAAATCATACCAAGTCTATACAGGTCAGAAATCATACCAAATCTATACAGGTCAGAAATCATACCAAATCTCTACAGGTCAGAAATCATACCAAATCTCTACAGGTCAGAAATCATACCAAATCTCTACAGGTCAGAAATCATACCAAATCTCTACAGGTCAGAAATCATACCAAATCTCTACAGGTCAGAAATCATACCAAATCTCTACAGGTCAGAAATCATACCAAGTCTATACAGGTCAGAAATCATACCAAATCTCTACAGGTCAGAAATCATACCAAATCTCTACAGGTCAGAAATCATACCAAATCTCTACAGGTCAGAAATCATACCAAATCTCTACAGGTCAGAAATCATACCAAATCTCTACAGGTCAGAAATCATACCAAATCTCTACAGGTCAGAAATCATACCAAGTCTCTACAGGTCAGAAATCATACCAAATCTCTACAGGTCAGAAATCATACCAAATCTCTACAGGTCAGAAATCATACCAAATCTCTACAGGTCAGAAATCATACCAAATCTCTACAGGTCAGAAATCATACCAAGTCTATACAGGTCAGAAATCATACCAAATCTATACAGGTCAGAAATCATACCAAATCTCTACAGGTCAGAAATCATACCAAATCTCTACAGGTCAGAAATCATACCAAATCTCTACAGGTCAGAAATCATACCAAATCTCTACAGGTCAGAAATCATACCAAATCTCTACAGGTCAGAAATCATACCAAATCTCTACAGGTCAGAAATCATACCAAATCTCTACAGGTCAGAAATCATACCAAGTCTATACAGGTCAGAAATCATACCAAATCTATACAGGTCAGAAATCATACCAAATCTCTACAGGTCAGAAATCATACCAAATCTCTACAGGTCAGAAATCATACCAAATCTCTACAGGTCAGAAATCATACCAAATCTCTACAGGTCAGAAATCATACCAAGTCTATACAGGTCAGAAATCATACCAAATCTCTACAGGTCAGAAATCATACCAAATCTCTACAGGTCAGAAATCATACCAAATCTCTACAGGTCAGAAATCATACCAAATCTCTACAGGTCAGAAATCATACCAAATCTCTACAGGTCAGAAATCATACCAAGTCTATACAGGTCAGAAATCAAAGTCAGGTCATCACAGGTCTGAAATCATACTAATGTTCTGTTCAAATGGAGAGTTTAATTTGAATTAAATGTGAAGTTACTGCGAATTAGCTTCGCTTAGCATTCACAAGGAGAATTTAATGCGAATTAGTTTAATTCGAATTAGTTTACTTCTCATTAAATTACTTGGCATTAGCTCCATGTGAACGCTAAGCGAAGCTAATTCGAATTAAATTCTGACGCATGCATAATGGCAAAATTTAGTCAAATGCCACTTGTTGGTGGTCAGCTATAGGTACTTGTGTGCTATTTTTGTGTAAAAAACTACGGAAAATTTTGTTAATCGTTAAAATGTGTATAGAGACACTTTGCCATTATGTCAAATGTATCTGCTTCTGCATATTTGACGTGATTTGCAAATGACATCATAATAGCCATGCTGACCCCGGGCTGCAGAAGTAAAATTTTAATTTGCATGAGTTTACTTCGCATTAGTTGTCGAGTGAACACAATTTATTTTGCATTAATTTACGTCCCATTTGTTTACTTCCAATTAATTTACTGCAAATTAAACTCTCCGTGTGAACAGGGCATCAGATAATTACAGGTCTGAAATCATACACAGGTCATCACAGGTCAGAAATCATACTCAGGTCACCACAGGTCAGAAAACATACTCACCACAGATCAGAAATCATAATCACGTCATCACCAGTCTGAAATCATACTGAGGTCATCACGGGTCTGAAATTATACTCACCACAGGTCAGAAATCATAATCACGTCATCACAGGTCTGAAATCATGCCCAAGTCATCACAGGTCTAAAATCATGCTCAGGTCATCACAGGTCTGAAATCATGCTCAAGTCATCACAGGTCAGAAATCATACTCAGGTCATCACAGGTATGAAATCATACTCAGGTCATTAAAGGTCTGAAATCATACTGAGGTCATCACAGGTCTGAAATCAAACTGAGGTCATCACAGGTCTGAAATCATACTCAGGTCATCACAGGTTAGAAATTATACTCACCACAGGTCTGAAATCATACTCACCACAGGTCTGAAATCATTCTCAGGTCATCACAGGTCAAAAATCATGCTCAAGTCATCACAGGTCTGAAATCATGCTCAGGTCATCACAGGTCTATAATCATTCTCAGGTCATCACAGGTCAGAAATCATACTGAGGTCATCATAGGTCACAAATCATACTCAGGTCATCACAGGTCTGAAATCATACTCAGGTCATCACAGGTCTGAAATCATACTCAGGTCATCACAGGTCTGAAATCATACTCATGTCATCACAGGTCTGAAATCATACTCATGTCATCACAGGTCTGAAATCATACTCAAGTCATCGCATGTCTGAAATTATACTCAGGTCATCACAGGTCAGAAATCATACTTAGGTCATCACAGGTCAGAAATTATACTCAGGTCATCACAGGTCAGATATCATACTGAGGTCATCACGGGTCTGAAATCATTCTCAGGTCATCACAGGTCAGAAATTATACTCAGGTCATCACAGGTCAGAAATCATACTCAGGTCATCACAGGTCTTAAATTAAACTTAGGTCATCACAGGTCTGAAATCATACCAAGATCACCACAGGTATGAAATCATACTGAGGTCATCACAGGTCAGAAATTATACTGAGGTCATCACGGGTCTGAAATCATACTCAGGTCATCACAGGTCAGAAATTATACTCAGGTCATCACAGGTCAGAAATCATACTCAGGTCATCACAGGTCTGAAATCATACTCAGGTCATCACAGGTCAGAAATCATACTGAGGTCATCATGGGTCTGAAATCATACCAAGGTCACCACAGGTATGAAATGATACTGAGGTCATCACAGGTCTGAAATCATACTGAGGTCATCACAGGTCAGAAATCATACTCAGGTCATCACAGGTCATAAATCATCCTAAGTCTGAGTTATTGGTTGCTGAGATTCTATAATTGATTCATTATAAAGGCTTTTTAATATTTAACTATCCTAGCAACTTTTATCATATTTGATAATATTCAACAGCTATTGAAGGCATCCAGGAAGATTTCTGAAGATGTACCATTTGTACTCTTTGGCTTAAATACCATATGATAAACTAGGAAAAAACTGTTCTATGTAATTTGTATCTAAGATGCAGGCAGTAGTGCATGTATCTAACACAGCATCCATAGATACATGTTCAATTTTGCTTTAAACATCTTTCATGGTAAGATAAGACTGTCACCGAAAAACAAGTTTAAGAACAGATGTAGAATTTTAAGCATCCGTCAGATTTTCAAAAATATCTTAAATGTGAAAGCTTGGTATGCAACATTTGAGTTAGCTTGAAACGGACCTTGATATTTTGCTAATCTTTGCAGCTACAGATTACAATATACTCCCAGTTGAGATACAGTGAAATGGGCACTATTATTTAATTCCCATTTGCATTATAGATTCCCAGAATATAAATAACCGAAAGTATGATATGCATCTACAGTGTAGAAAATCCAGCATATGGATTGATAACGTCTGTATCAAATTATCAAAATGTTTGTTCCTGCATTTTGCTCTGTTTTGGGTGAACATTTGTCGCATAAAAAATCAGTTGTGATAACAGTATTTTATTGGCTGGGCGACATAGAGCTAGAGGTGATGTTATATTGTATAATTCAGTAGTTGTGATGTTCTATTGTATTTTATTGGCTGGGTGACATAGAGCTGGAAGTTATGTTTGTAGTATAATTCAGCAGTTGTGATGTTCTATTGTATTTATTCAGCAGTTGTGATGTTCTATTGTATTTATTCAGCAGTTGTGATGTTCTATTGTATTTATTCAGCAGTTGTGATGTTCTATTGTATTTATTCAGCAGTTATGATGTTCTTTTGTATTTATTCAGCAGTTATGATGTTCTATTGTATTTATTCAGCAGTTATGATGTTCTATTGTATTTTATTGGCTAGATGACATTGAGCTAGAAGTGATGTTTGTATTGTATTTAATTACCTGGGTGACATAAAACTGGAAGTGATGTTTGTTTGTATAATTCAGCAGTTATGATGTTCTATTGTATTTAATTAGCTGGGTGACATAGAGCTAGAAGTGATGTTTGTTTGTATAATTCAGCAGTTGTGATGTTTGTATTTTATTAGCTGGGTGACATTGAGCTGGAGGTGATGTTTGTGGCTCCTGATGAAGATAGCGATGATGAACAGAGCCAGGTGGGGGAAGATGAGAATGGATTCAGGTAGGTTATCCCACGAAATACAGTTTTCCCCCAAATTTTCATTTTTCAACAGTGAATAAAAAGTATAAATGAATCAAATGAGCTTTTCAATATATTTCTTTTTAAATTCTGAGTTGAGACTGTTGATGTGATTTTTGTTTACAGATACAGGATTTATGATGAAGATGTTCTGAGCAGCAGTAGTGAGGCAGAAATACGCAGACATGTAGGTCAAAGGTCAGCCCTGCCCCCAAATGTCAACGGAACAATGTCATCATCTGCTTCAGTCCAACACAGTCCTTCAAGGTAAGAGGTAGTTTTTTTAATGGTTAATTTTACAGTATTGACTAGTTCTTTTTATAATGTTATTTCTTTGTATTCTATACACAAATATGTCAAAATATTTATTTAAAAAAAAATACCCCAAAATATGCAAAAACATAGCGGAAAAAGGATCCGCTTTTGAAGCAATAATTGTTACATCAAGAAAGGAAAGAAATTACAAGTTTTTAAAATTGAATACATTTTGCATATTTGACATCATATTCCTGACTGTTACAGATTTGAACAATCTAAAGGAAATCCAGCTGCTAATCACTTGAAGTCTGAGGGTAGAGGACCTAGTTCTCCCAGTGTTGATGTGGGGGTGATACAAGCTAACGGTTTACAACAGACAAACTCTGTAGATCAGAACGCCATGTTCAACAGTGATTACACCTAGTCTATAGTGCCAGTGTCTCCATACCAGAGTGATATGTAATATTCCCTTTTTATGTGTATCATTCATTTTAAGTGCTTTTTTCTGTATGATTTCTTTTAAAATGCCAATAATCAGTTGACAATTGATTGGAATAACTAAATAACAAATTCTTATCTCAAGAAAGAACAAAAACTTAACTCCTTGTTAATATTGTGCTTTCATGCCATCATTGTGATACTTTCAATGTATATGAACTTCAACCTTATGTTTTTCCTTATCATCACATGTATATCTGTCGTTTATCATAAGCAATCTGGAAATATGCATGGTATTTATTTATTTTTATTTCTTAATCTGGCAGTTATATGCCTGAAAACACATATTTATCGTTTTAAAAGTATAATGACTAATTTATGGACACATACAAGTTTGAGTTACTTCTTTACAATCATTTGTAATGTGCATAATCTATTCCTTGATAAGCTTGATTTCTGTATATTGTTGTAACTGAGAAGCAGCAACAGGGCTGCAGTTGTTTATTGTATAATGTGGATCATCTTTTAAATATTACAAACTTAAGTCATCTGAATATCATTTTAGTAATTTTAAAACTGTAAAGGGAATTTGCCTTCAGTATTACAATTTGACTGTATAACTGTTTTTCTGTTGGAATAAGTAACCACTGCATACTAGGAATAAAAACAATATTCCCTTGGAGTAAAAATAAAATATATTCTAAGAATTTTTTGTAGATTTACTGAGATTAATAGGGGTGGGGTTGGGTGGGGGCAAATAGAGCCTATGAAATGACTTTCTTGTTATATAGTATAAATCACGTCTCCAGGATATACTCAAAACTCATTAACTTTGTAAATCAATTATTACTATGTTATTTGTAACAAAAAAAAAACATAATTACTGTAAGAGGGTAAACTTTTTATGAAAATATTTTATAAATTAACTTATTTGTACAACAGAAAAGACAAAACAAATAGGCATGATGTTCATCAGGATCTGTATTTCTGTTCTTACATATGTACATGTATTTACAGCAGTTATTATTATATACAGATATTATTCTCTCTCAGTGGTAATTCATCTGCAACTGTTCAAACATTGTCAAAAACAGCTGAGGTGTCAAGTAAAATATGGTGCATTTATTTTTGGTTACCTAGTCATATAAGTATTTTAGATATTAATTTATTAGATTGATGGGTTTTTTTAAACAAGTAATTTGATGCAATCTTATCATTAAAGATTATAAATAGAAGTTGTTATTAATCAATTTGATTTCAGTTCCATCCTATTCATTTTATACAACCTTCGTAGAATATTCTGACATTTTTCTCTTTATAACGTCTTCAAAAGTGCTCAGATAATGATTGATTGATTGATTTCATATTGTTTAACGCCAAGTCGGCGATATTTCAGCCATATTTTGGCGGGCAAGTATTAACCGGTTTTTGAAAGCTTTTGGTTTCTCTGGCGGCCCCCAATGAGCCTACTCTTTATCGAACTCCAGAGAAACGGTCTTTTGCGTGCCAAGGGGGTTGTTATCCTTGACACGGGGCACCATTTAATGTCCCATCCGACGGACTGCTCAGATAATGAAAAAGTGAATATATAGAAAATTATCAATCTCAAAAAGTCGACAAAACAAAAAAAAACCAAAAACAAATCTGTGAAGAGAACAAATTACACGGGCCCCTGTAAAATCCAGATGTAGGATGAGATGCCCACGAGAAGTAAACATCATCTGTTGCCTGCTTGAGCCCTATGTACTGATCAGGTTTATGAAGCCTTCCATATTCAAATCTGGTATAAAACTGAAAGCCTAATATATGGTATGAAATAAGTCAGGCAAATCTGCACTCAATCGTATGTTATGTTTGCAAATAAGATCATTTAAACGACCGTGGAATTTGCGAAATGTTGCCTTAATACGAGGTTGTTGAAATCTTAGTAAGATCAACTTATCCTTCAATAGTCTGCCTCGAATTGGTCGTTCTTGGAGCATGATCTTGATTATCAAATAAGTTTGGAGATGTTAACACTACTTGCAGGTGATATACATGTAGTGGGATATTACTACTTTAAGGTCAGACGAGACGTTCCTCAAAATCTTTTAATTTGTATATCTTCGTAATGTATGAAAAATATTCAAAATTTTGATAACACTCTGATTTCTAAACCAGTTTCTAAACGTTTTTTAAAGATCCAAACACTTAAACATTTGAAATTGGAAAATTATTTTTCTTACCCAAAGGATTATATAAGAAAAACTACCCTTGGTATCTTGCAGAAATGCCTGGTAAGGTACCTCAATTTTTTGTGAGTAAACATGTTTTAGTAGCAATACTTCAATGCCAAACTCTTAGAAAAATTTATCTATAATTAAGGAACGTCTCGTCTGTCCTTAAAAAAAAGGAAAATTGAGGATGGGAAAGTTAAAGTCAGGCCTAGAAAAAAAATATGTTTGTTTCTGCTTTCAGGCTGAAAAAATATAGGGTCGGTAGGTAGGCAAAATTTTTTTTTTTGAAAAAAAATTTTTTTTTGCTTCTTTAATCAAAAAATCAAAACATCTATAGAATTAACATTAATGACAAAAGAAATGGTGTTTTTAAGCATTTCTGTGACTTAAACTGATAATAGAAAGGTGACCCAAAATTCTTTCGGTCTTGAAAAGCTTGCAATGTTGGAGACTATAATTCCCTGGATCAAATCTTGTACATCATGGGGGACAAAAGCATTAAAAAATCTTTAAGGTCGGCACTATAAATTAGGGTCGGTCGGGAAAGCGGAAACAAACTTTTTTTCTAGGCCTCATCTCGTTTGTCATACAATTTAGTTTTTAGCTGGCACATATCGTGTACAGTTAGATAAATATTAAAATATGAAACAGGTGTGGCAGACTCCGTGGTGTCTTTTCATTTCAAGTTTACTGATATACAAGTTGTATACCGAATCGATATATAAATGAAAGTAAGCACATGTATTGTTGAAAGTAAGCACATGTATTGTTAATTGATACATACATTTATAATATATCGTTGATATATCTAAATGTCCGGTAATGGCCGAATAAATGTTTTTTTCTTTTAATGTACTACAGATGTTTTTTGAATTCTGCTTTATAGGAATATAAAAACAGGTTAGCTAATTAAGAAACATAATTGGTGCCAATTAGATACCCAGTTTACATCATTTTCTAGGCGAAGCATTCATGGTTAAATATCTTTATATATGTTTCAAAACTTATCATTGAAGTGGTTTTACAAGCTGCAATTAACGAAAAGACTTTACTAAATGTGTTTGAATGCTCGGGAAACTGACAAAAATTAACTAAATGCCTTGAAATTGCTCTACAATTAATATATGGAATTACTGTCTAGTTACAGAAGTATAGTACTTGTATGGCAGGGCATACGTTAAGCAAATTATCCCATGTTTCCCACTATCGTTGATGTCCCTGGCATACTTTACTAACTAGACAGTGATTCCTTATATTTTCTTTTCATTGTGAAAAAAAAAAATTGTAGATTTAGATTTTAAAAATGTAGACATACGAGTAGATTTATATTGTAATATATCACTTGATTTGTAAACGTAATATTATGCGGTCGTCCAGTTCTCATTCTTGTTAAATCTATGTTCAACATGTGCCTGCCAGAAAAGTTGTTCGTTTATGATTTTATTGAAAATAATATGTCAGCTTATCTAGATACGATTTTAGTAATAGCTATTATCATCATAATTTACCTGTTGTCGCTTCATGTAATATCGTAGGAGTTATAATATCGGGGAATAGAGGGTGGATTTTACTTTTCATGTTTTGGAAGCCATCATACTTTACTCGGATCGTCATTTCCGGTTTGGTGACCTATATGTATTTACTAGTAATGCATTGTTCTATTGAAGTTATGAATATGGGATCGTATTCTACTTTTTAGTTTGAGTTGTTTTGTGATTTGAAGCTACAAGTTGTTATTTATTGTTAGCATTCACTTTATAATCAGTCAGCTTTATCGGGACTACATTTGTGTACGCTAGTGTCGGTAGTTACGATATTTATACGCTACATTGTTCTGCATATATTGTACAGTCTAGGGATGTTTTATAAACATTGAAGGAATTTATTAATTTGTCTAGTCAAGCTTATTTTATGTGTTATATTTCCACTTGTTAATTTTACATAGTTTTTCTAGTTACGATGTTGTACGGAAGCTTGTGTGGCAGAAGTAGTTCTGTGTGGGAACTTGTGTGGGAACTCAGCCTCCCGTACAAGCTTTTGATTGGTTAATAGTTCGTACGGCATAATTTTATTGGATAATTCGAGTCATGTGACAGGGAAAGGGAGGTTATATAAGCGAGCGCGTACTACGTTACGACAGATTTCAGCTAGTTGTATGGCGGCTATATTTGAAAGTTAAAAGAAAGAAAACCAAAACGGTGAGATACTTATAATGTTATTTACGTATATTTAGCCTAGTTAGAAATCTCCTACCACACTGGACGACCTAAACTTGTGTTTCTGAAGAATCAGCTATTTTTATATTGATATTCATATACATATTGCCTGTATTGTTATGATTATGAGATGCTGCACATACAAATAAATGCTGAGTATGACTGATCAATCATCTTGAGTATCATTCAACAAAGAATCTACACAGAGTGGTGCCTGGTTGTTTAACATATTAGAACAAATTTAATTACTGGTACATCCTGACAAAAGATGAAGATTTATTTAGAAGATAAACTATGGCCTATATAGACGCTGAGGATTCAGAAATACTAGCCACCCCTGGGGTAGCTTACAAACTGGTGTCAGAAGTGGGATACTAAATTATTTTAGTGTCCTGATACGAGCCCATGAGCCGTCCAGTGTGGTAGTTTAACATCAACATTACAGTCTTAGAAGATAAGATGACATAGATTTAACATTAGAATTATTACTGCTTATTTAAGACGACATAAAGAAAATTAAGATGTCAGAATCCGGTGAGTCGGTCGATCATGAAGTCGAAGTACGCGTGCCTCAGTCGGTAATGTTTGACGATGGCGGTCAAGGTGACACGTATGACGAACATCAGAAGTCGAGCAATGAGGTACTTTTAGAAAGATCGTCTCCCAGAGGAAATGAAGACAATCATGGTCCACCTAGTGCCTACAGTGGTTTTTCTGGAAGACCTGCTCCTCAGATATTTTCAAGCCCTATCCAACCTGTAAATTACACGATGAAACCTGAGTCCTATGATGGTACTGTAAGCTGGGAAGAGTACATCTCACATTTCAATGACTGTGCAGAACTAAGCCTATGGACAGAGAGAGATAAGGTTCTGTTCCTTGCTGCAAGCTTAAGAGGCCAAGCCAGGACATTTTACATGAGCTTATCCTTGCTTGAAAGAAGATCCTTTGATGCACTTACCAACAAGTTTAGTCAGCGATTTGGAAATTCGAGACACCAGAACAAATGGTTAGCTAAGCTTGAATCACGCAGACGACAACAGGGCAAGAGTGCTGCTGCTCTAGGTGATGATATCCGACAAATGGTTCAGAAAGCTTACTGCAATTTAGATGAGCAAGCTCAAGAAATTTTAGCCTTAAATCACCTTTACAAGCTGATAAGTGTCGAGATGAAGTGCAGATGTATTGATAAAGATTGTCAGAGTATTTCAGAAGCCGCAGACATAATTGACAGATATGAAGCCATCCTTGGTGAAAACTACGACAAAAAGAAACAACATGCTAGAGCTGTGAAAACAATTGAT